AATATTAAATCTAACAAATTAGTAACATACCCCTCGTTCAACCGTAGCACTAGACATTAAATCTTTCAGTCTTAGTGCTCAGATAGTCTCTGCCAGGTTTTTACTATATTTTTAAGATTTTTCTTTTTCGCATTACTTTTCAAATGATCAATTAGCGTCATCCCCTCAATATTAGAATGGCACCATCCTGCTAAAACAGGACGATCATCTCTAATAATGTGAAGTTTATGCTGAGGATATAAAGCTGAAAAACATAAAAACAAATGATATTAACAATAAAGTAACAAAAAAAACACTAGAACGGAATAAAACAATACAAAAAAAAGAAAAAAGAAGAATGAATATCACTCTTGGTCAATGGAGGAAGAGATGTAATCCTCGATTCTACAGCCACACCAACTCCAGAAAAGAGTACAATAGCAACAAAGGCTGTTCTACTCCCATCAAATTCTAAAAATAAAAAATGAATAAACAAAAAACTCAGTCCAACCAAATTGATTAATAAAATATGATCAACTAAGTCCAACCAAATTGTTCCACCCCATCAAAATATGTATAAATAGCTACTTGAAATTCCTACGTAAAGTAAGAAATTTGTTGAGAGTTAATTCTACACAAGGAAAGTAACAAGGATAATCAAACAGAATTGCGAATATACTTAATTGATAGTGAAATTAAAATCTTGCCTAGCTACAAAATTTGGTTTAACATTCTACTCGGTAACCAGGAATTAAACAAAGTTGAGATACCTAATTGATTCTGATCTGAATCCCTAGAGCTATTAATAATTAAATGAAACCAAAGAAAACAATAATACATGGGAATTATTATGAAAACAAAAAATTAGGCATCATGTCAATTAAATTCAAGCACCGTAACCCTAAAAACATATGCAGATTGAAAGCAGAGACCTTAACTAAGCTGCAAATTCGGAATTACAGATAATCTTTTTCTTCCTCAAAGACCCTAAAAACAAAAACAAACAAAGTTAAAAAGCATAGCAAGAGATAGGAGTCCGGATCTCACCTCGGAGTTTCTTCGGTCCGGCGAAGGACTTGAAATTGGATCTGGTGACTCCGAGTAGGCGGCCCTCCATGGTTTTGATTGAGAGAGAGATAGACGAGCGGATTTAGGGCTTCTGGGAGGAGGGCGCTAACAGGGTGTTTTTATATACTGTAACTTTTCGTTTATTTGACCATAATGCCATTCACATTTAACCGATTGGCTGTCTGCGGTGTATTGTTATATAAATGCCAGACCATTTTACGGAAGCGATTTTCAATTTGAGGGGGTTGAATATTTTTTTTTTCTTCAAATTTTCAAATAGTTATATTATTACACTTTATGTACCGGATCATATTTCTGGCTGATAAATTTATCATCCGGAAAGAGTACTTAATAATTAAATTTTTTGGAACCTTCTACATGCACAAAGGTCATAATTGATGGGCTTCAAGAGAAGAAAAAGGCTTGGGTTGTTAGTTTCGAAAAAAAAAAACTAATATTAGAACATTTTAAGTTGCGCACGCTAAACCAGCATTTGGGTAATTTAGTTAGCTCCAATAACAAAAATTTAAACATGGGTTGCCATAAGATGCTATCCCATCTTCATTTATTTTCACCTAGACCTCTATCGACATGGACATTTATATAATTGAAAAACTAATTGTATAAATCATGTAGACGGCATGTCAATAGTCGACAATGTATCAATATGTTTATATCGATACGGAATGGTTGAACGACCCACTTGTTTTGGAAGTCTTACCCTAAATTTTCTCCTTCCCATAAGTACATAGAATTATTTGAATAAGTTTTTAAACATGTAATGCAATTCATACTAAAAAAAGTTAAGGTTACACTAGGGATGGGCAAACGGGTCCTGGACCCACGGGTCGGGGCGGGTACATGCGGTTCGAGACGGGTACGGGGCGAGTCCAAAAATTAAAAATAAAAAACGGGGGCGGGGCAGGTCTGTTCCTAGTAAATAACGGGGCGGGCCGGTTCTAAAACACGGAGAAAACGGGCCCCCGGCCTGGGCCGTTAATTACCTAAATCTCTGTCGTTTATCTATCCATCACCCTCCCTCTCTTATTTTCTCCCTAACTCTCAGACGCAATTCACTCTCTCAAACTCTCCCCTCACCCTCTTTTTCTATCCCGACTCCGAGTCTCCTCCCTCGATCTCTCATCCTTGAAACTTCTTTCCTCTCTCGTCTCAGACCTCAATCTCGAGCCCAGGCTTCCATCTCTGTACATCGACTCTCCACATCTCCTACCCATATTGACTGAGTCGACCTCGATTGTGTCGACATCATAGCAGCCAACCACCATCACCATCGTGGCATCCTCTCATAACTCTCCATCGTGGCATCCTTAGGTAATTTATGAATTGAGGTTTTTGATTTAGGAATTTAGGGTTTTTACATAAGCTTTTTGATTGATTAGGGTTTCTGATTTTGTGGGTTTTTGACTTTGTGGGTTTCTGATTTTGTAATGACGAGGGTGGGATCCGTGGAAGACAATGTCTCTTGTTCAATTTGTGTGTTAGGGTCAACGGCTCCAACCGAAGTTGATGGTGTGGCTGGGCTCAAGCACGAATGTAGACTCAACGAGGTTGTCCCAGGCTCCTACTTCTCTTCTTCTTGGCATCTAATTTATGTTTTATTTTGAATTCGAATGTGGGGATTTAGGAATTAGAGATTCAGTTCATTTGCTTGAAAACTTCATAAAAATGTTGGGGATTTAGCTTAATTAGGGATTCAGTTTCATTTTATTTTTTGATGAATTCGATATTGTAATTGAAGATTTTTATTTATTTATTAATTTGTTCTATTTAGGGATTTAGGTTGGGGTTGGGGCGTGAGAAATGCTTGAAAACTGTTTGATCCCCTGCATAACCCAGATCACAAATTTTTCAGAAGATCGGAAAAATGTTTATTATGTGTGGTTTGTTGATCAGTGAGATGTGGCAAGCGGACTTTGCGATGGAAACAGGGGGTCGCGGGATGGTGGCAGTATGCCCAATCGAAAAAGAAAAACAAATAGTTAGACCCGTGGACCTGTCCCGAACCGGCCCGTTTGAAATGGGCCGAGTTAGTCCAGTTCCCATATTCAAAATACCTCTACCTGACCCCGCCCACCCCGTTACATTTTAAAACAGGTAGGGCCAGGTTCCTTCAAATTTGGGCCCGGCCTGGCCCGTGCCCACCCCAAGGTTACACCATAAAACTAATTGTCAGTATTGTAAAAAGAGATATACAATACCAACTCACAAAAACATAAATCACCAACTATTAAAATAAATGCCAGAGTAAATACTTGATAAAAATGAAAGAAAATCCAAAACAAATACACAACAAAATCGAAAATCCAAAAAAAAAATAATAAAAAAACCTTATAAAACAGAAAAAAATAGATTTAACCCAAGAAAAAAAATAGAAATAAAATAGTTATGCAGATATAAATCATCATACGAGGTATATATCATCATACCAAAATACTAAAGATTGGGCCACAACAGATATCATGGACAACACTTGATTCAAAAATACGCATTGGGCCGGTCCGTTTAAAAAAAAAAAAAAGTGATTGAATCTAAGAAATTGTAACATCCCACATCGTTCAGGGGAGTGATCCTTAAATATATATTTTCATCCTTACCTAGCATGAGACATTTTGGGAGCTCACTGGCTTCGGGTTCCGTAAGAACTCTGAAGTTAAGCGAGAATGAGGTCAAAGCACTCCCAAGATGGGTGACCCACTGAGAAGTTGCTTCTGAGTTCCCAAAAATAAAACCGTGAGGGAATGATAAGCCCAAAGCGGACAATATCGTGCTACTGTGGTGGAACTGGCCCGGAAAGTGGTTCGTCCCGGGCCGGGATGTGACAATTGGTATCAGAGCCATCCCTGGCCAAAAGTGTGCCAACGTAATATTGTGCTACAGTAGTGGAACTGGCCCAGGAAGTGGTCCGTCCCAGGCCGGATGTGACAATTGGTATCAGAGCCAATCCATAACCAGAAGTGTGTCGACGAGGACGTTGGGCCCCTAAAAGGGGTGGATTGTAACATCACACATCGTTCAAGGGGGTGATAAATGTATATTTCCATCTTTACCTATCACGAGACCTTTGGGAGCTCACTGGCTTCGGATTCCGTAGGAACTCCGAAGTTAAGCGAGAAGGAGGCCAGAGCACTCTCAGGATGGGTGACCCACTGGGAAGTTGCTCGTGAGTTCCCAAAAACAAAACCGTGAGGGAATGGTAAGCCCAAAACTGAAAATATCGTGCTACGGTAGTAGAACTGGCCTGGGAAGTGGCCGGACCAGTATGTGATAGAAATCATACCTGAAAAAAAATTAGAAGGTGGCCGGATTTGATGGACATACAAAGCTCTAAATCATAAGACAACATGAAATAAGGAGATCTGAAAAAAAAAAAAAAATACATTAAGATCTCCCTATTTCATCTCACATCATGATTTGGGGGTATCCTCCTGACCCTAAGAATTTCCGGAAGATGTATATTTCATTAGGAAACATGAAATAGAAGAGATCTGAAAACAGAAGGAAAAAAAAAAATTGAACATGAAATTCTTCTGAACTGCTGATAATTGTCTGCAGCGGATTTTGCTTTTGAGGGGAAATGTCTATGTACTTAGGCTTTGACTCCAACTGAACCTATGGCTTTGGTTTTTATAGCTGCACGTACGTCTCTCCAACTTTAACCTAATCACCGTAGCATCTCAGCCGTTGAAACTAAGCAATCTAACGGCGGTGCGTATTATTGGGCCCCGCGAGAATTCGATCTATTTATGTAATTCTCCGCGTGAAATTCATCTTTTGGTAATGTTTCAGAAAAATTGTACCATTTATCTCTAGTGAAAAATGAGAGATTTTGTAGCCAGTTAGGAACCCGGCGTGTTACAATATATATTATTATATAAATTGTGCGATACTTATTCTTAAAATTTAACCGAATTATAAATAAAATATCTCTATAATTATTTATATAATAACACGTAATGTATCACTCGAGATTGAAAATTTCTCCATCTCCTCAAAGGGAAATAGTAAATTGGAAATGGAGACTGATTGGGGAACTCACGTGAAAAAAGGATAAAATATTAGGGTATGTTATCCACATATCTTATCTTACTTCTCACGTATCCTTTGTTAATTTATGTTCGTTGATGCGGCTGCATCCCTAAATGTGATGGCGGTGGCGGACTGCTCAATTGCTGCTTTAAAGTAGCATTCTCGGCCATAACATAAGAAATCCTATTGTTAAAATTAGCAATAGTTGAATGCATAGATAGCCCTCACCTTGTCCTCAAGCTCCTCCACATAATGCTGTTTCCTTTGCCTAGAAAGCTGAGCACTTTCTCTGTTCCGTATCAATCTCGCCTTCCTCTTATCTTGCTCGTCATTCGCACTCGCACTCACATTCACAGAAGCGGCATTGTTGTTGTTGTTGTTGTTCTCCGACCCCCCGATACTTGGCACTTCACGACTCCATGTTGCCTTCATTGCTCTCTTTCTTCCTTTTCACAATGTAGTTTTTCGCCATTTCGTCCTCCACCTTAATCTTCTCATCATCCGAATTACAAATCGCATTGGAAGAAACAGAATTGCCCGAATGTGAATTCGAGTCCACCGCCTCGGAAATCCCAGAGCCCTGAGACAAAGCAGGCCCACCGGAATTCTCCGAACACCCATTTGACAAGGCCGGACAATTCTGAAACCTGGAAACGTCCAGAGCCCCCTCCAACAGCGGCAGCATCCTGTGGTCAGCAGACCTGCAGGAGGGCGAGCGGCCTTCAGAATAGAGTTCATTATTGCAGTCTCGCTCTTATTCGGGCAGTCCTTGATCTTGTGGTCACGGAGCATTTTACAACAACCACAAAACATGATCCTAACAGCACGCTTCCCTCCACGAAAGGTAACTATTTCATAGCCCTTGGGAGCCTCAGTTACGTTGTCTGGGAGGCCTACTTTGATGTAGGGGCATCTATCATTATAGTGGCCAACCACTCCGCAAACTTCAGAAGGGACTGTGAATTTGAAAGGCCTAGCAAACTTTACATGGGGTTGTGAATTTGGAGTAGTAGTATTCTTGTTAAGTTCGAGTTGAGCCATAGCCTCTTCAACAACCTTTTCTTTTTTGAGTTGAGTCGGGTTAACACCTGTTTTCTTCATATCTGTGTGTTTGAGGAAATGTAGACAGAGATACATTAAATATATATATATATATATATATATATATATATAATATATATATATATGTAGGTATTGTGTGTGTGTGTGTATAAGCTAAGTCATATGCATTCAGGCCGGACACTTAATGACTATGTATTCTGGACGTAATTAAATCATCAAATACTTACTACTAATGCTTCATGCTAAATTACTTTATACTGTATCTGGGCTAATTTGTTAGGATAACCTAAATATGTAGAAATAGCTACTTGGAAATCCCATGTAAATTGGGAAATTTGTTGAGAATTAATTCTATGGGCAAATCAAACAGAATTGCGAATATACCTAATTGATTGTGAAATCAAAATCTTGCTTAACTACAAAATTTGGTATAAAATTCTACACAGTAACCAGGCAAATTAAACAAAATTGCTATACATAATTGATTCTGATATGAATCCCTAGAGCTATTAACAATTAAATGAAACAAAAAAAAAATACATGGGAATTATTATGAACGCAAAAAATTAGGCATCTCAATTAAATTCAAGCACCATAACGTTAAAAACATATGCATCGAGTTAATTGAGCTACAATTCGAAATTAGAGATAATCTTCTTCTTCCTCAGGAACCCTAAAACCAAAAGAAACATGCAAAAATGCATACCAAGAGAAGAGGGAGGAGTCCGCATCTCACCTCGAAGTTTCATCGGTTTGGCTGGATTCTTCCCCCGCTCGGATTCTGATCCTGGTCCTGCTATTCGGCGGCTCACGGTTTTGTCCGAGAGAGATTATTTTGGACGTAGAGAGAGAGATTGCAAGAGTTGAGTTTGAGGATTTTGGCGGGGGTAGTTTGTGTGGTATATATACTATACTTTTCCAGCGATTTGACAATAATACCCTTCACATTTAACCTATTTACCGCCATGTCTTGGATCGGTGTACTCTGTTTCCCAAAAACTGCTTTATTTGATGTGCGTTGCTATCCACACATTTATCTTTATTTTTTACACATTTTTTTTAATTTTCGATCATTGGATCAAATGAATTAAGAAAGATCAATGACCAAAAATTCGATCAACCGCAAAAAATTAATAGGGATGTGCAGAAGTTAAAATGGACATGGTTAGCACTATCCTATTTGGTTCTATCAGGTACCAGACGGGACGGAACAGAACGGGACTAGACGGAACAGGACAGGACGGGACGGAATAGGACGGAATAGATGATGTAAATATTGAAAAAGATTTTGAGAAATTTTGTCATAAAATGTTATAAATCTGTGTTCCGCGGATGTGGAACAGGTCGTTCCAGGAGGAAGAGATGAAACGAAAAATTAGCCAAATTTCGTCCAATGGGTCAACCCGTTCCACAGTTTTTAGGCGCACGAAACGTGGAACGGAACGGCTCATCCCGTTCCGTCCCGTCCCGTCCCACGTACCAAACGGTACCTCAACGAACTAATTCAACAAGATATGGTTTGCTCAGTTTTTAAACGTCTCAGCTCTGAGTCCTATAAATTTAAAGCAGTTTGTTTCTGCCATCCAACAACTTAGATTTTTACAGTTCCGTTTCGATATGAGGCAGTATACGACGCCATAATTCATCCTCCTCGTCCTCGCAAAGGGTTTTTTCACTCAGAAATAACACCAGTAGAATAAATCTAAGTATATGGAGAATACAACTAACCATTAGAATGAGTAGAATAAATCCAAGTATATAGAGAATACAACTAACGTTAGAATGACGGGACGGAACGTGCTTCTTCAAAGACATACATGACATACGTACAGACAGACTGACCACAGAGTGCTAAAATCCAAAGAAAACGAACAGGACAGCAGCATTCCAAGACAAGAGTAGATATAACCATCCAAATCGGCAGTGCCGCCGCAATCCTGAGCATCAGCAAGATCAGGAGGTGAGAGGACCTACAGGAGGGGGCTTCCGAAGGGAGTTCTTCCATGCAATGATTTTGCTCTTATGCGGGCAGTCATCGCTCTGGTGGTCAGCGCTGATATGACAATAACCACATAACATCCTAACAGCATGCTTCTCACCACGGAAGGTAACTATTTCATAGCCCTTGCCAACCTCAGTTACATTGTTTGGAACACGTTTCATGTAGGGGCAATCATCATTCAAGTGGCCAACCACACCGCAAACTTTACAAGGGATTGTGAATTTGAAAGGTCTAGTAAATACGACTGCGCTGCGCGTTTTCCTCTCTTCTGGTTTTGGAGTAGTAGTATTCTTCTCGTTAAGTTGGAGCTCAGCCATACCCTCTTGAACAAAATTTTCTTTTTTTAGTTAGTCGGAGAGTCTTTAACAGCCGTTTTCTTCATATCTGTGTGTTTGCGGAAATGTAGATAGACATAAATTTTTTAGAAGATTTAGATAGAGATAAATTATATATATATATATATATATATATGTATGTATGTATTGTGTGTGAATCAGCTAAGTAAGCCATCTGGATTCAGGCAATACAGAATTGTGATCAGGGGCGAATGCATATTGGGACCAAAGTGGTCCCAGCACCACCCGAAGTCTGGGGGATTTACAAGTGAAGGTCTTCCAAGAACCCTTGGAATGTTTCGTATATGTGCCCACCTAGTGTTTGATTTGATGTAATGCTTATATATATATTTCTACAGGTTTCATCAACAACACTGACAAATTTTCTTGACATCACTTATCAGTGAATAAACTAAATTTCTTATTTGCACGTTTTGGACTTTGTTTCTATTTAAAAAATTTGGACATTTAATATTGGGACACCAAAAGTTCGAATATTGAATCCGCAACTGATTGCGAATATACTTAATTGATTATGAAACGAAAATCTTGCTTGGCTACAAAATTTGGTTTCAAATTGTACTCGGTAACCAGGCAAATTAAACAAAATTGTGATACCTAATTGATTGTGATATGAATCCTTGAGCTATTAGCAATTAAATGAAACATAAGAAATAATGCATGGGAATTATTATGAACACAAAAATTAGGCATCACGTTAATTAAATTCAAGCACCGACGAACCGTAACCCTAAAAACATATGCATCGAGTCAATTGACCTGCAAATTCGAAACGAGAGATAATCTTCTTCCGCATTACAAACTCTAAAACCAAAACAAATATGAAAAAAAGCATACCAAGAGAAGAGGGAGGAGTCCGGATCTCACCTCGGAGTTTCATCGGTATGGCTGGTTTCTTCCCCCGCCGGGATTCTGATCCTGCTCCGGCTACTCGGCGGCTCATGATTTTGTCAGAGAGAGAGAGAGATTTTATTGGGACGAAGAGAGAGAGAGAGAGAGAGAGAGAGATTGCATGAAATAAGTTTGAGAATTTTCCGATTTTGGCGGGGGCTATTTTAGTTTAGGTGCTACATATACACTATACTTTTCCTACCATTTGACCGTGATACCCTTCACGTTCAACCTATTTACCGTCGTGTCATGGGTTAGGGTCGGTGCACTCGATGTATCCTAAAAACAGCTTGATTTGATTTCAATTAACAAACTAATCCAACAAGATATGTTTTGCTCAGTTCTTAGACGTCTCAACTCTCAGTCATATAAATTTTGAGCAGTTCGTTTCTGCCATCCAACAACTTGATTTTTACAGTTCTGTTTCTTAGAGATACATTAATATATATATATATATATGTATATATGTATACACACACAAATACGTGTGTGTGTGTAAGCTAAGTAATTAAGCCGTTTGGATTCAGGCCGGGCACCATATTACTCTGTATTCTCCATCTTATTAAATCATCAAATACTTACTACTAAAGTTTCATGCCAAATACGTTCTTCTGTATCTGGGTGGCTAATTTGTTAGGATAACCTAAATATTTTAAATAGCTACATGAAAATCCTACATAAAGTAGGAAATTTGTTGAGAATTAGTTCTGCACAAGTAATCGGGTGCACAAGTAATCGGGCAAATCAAACAGAGTTGTGAACAAGGCCTGATGTACATTGGGACCAAGGTGATCCCAGGATCACCCGACGTATGGGGATATATGAATTTGAAGGTCCACCAAGAAGACTTTGAATGTTTTGTACATGTGCTCACAAAATGTTTGATGTAATATTAGTATGCATATCTCGACAAGTTGCGTCGATAATTCTTGACAAATTCTCTCGATATCACTCATCAATGAATAAACTATATTTTATTGCGTGTTCCACACTCTATTTCTCAAAAATTCAAATACTGAATCCGCCACGAATTGTGAATGTACTTAATTGATTGTGAAATGAAAATCTTGCTTAGCTACAAAATTTGGTTTAAAATTCTACTCGGTGGCCGGGCAAATTAAACCAAATTGCGATACCTAATTGATTGTGATATGAATCCCTAGAGCTATTAATAATTAAATGAAACAAAAATAATAATACATGCGAATTATTATGTACACACAAAATTTGGCATCACGTTAATCAAATTCAAGCACAGTAACCCTAAAAACATATGCATCGAATTAACTGAGCTGCAAATTCGAAATTAGATATAATCTTCTTCCTCCTCACAAACCCTAAAACCAAACCAACGTGCAAAAAAGCATACCAAGAAAAGAGGGAGGAGTCCGGATCTCACCTCGGAGTTTCATCGGTTTTGGTAGATTCTTCCTTCGCCCGGATTCTGATCCTGGTCCAGCTGCTCGGCGGCTTATGGTTTTGCCTGAGAGAGAGATTGCACGAGTTGGGTTTGGGGATTTTGGCAGGATTGGGATCAATTTTAATTCCTTACAACATCTTTAAAATATTTCAATTTCATACATTTACTTATCATTTTATTTCAATTTTATACATCAATTAGAAAATCTTTTAAGTAGACCGTTAAGCGATGACGTGGCAAATATGGAATCCACGTTTATATTAACGTGGCTGTCATATTTGTGCCATGTGACAAAAAAAATTAATTTTTTTAAACATTTAAAATTTAATATAATTAATGAATTTGCTGATGTAGAATCTAGTAAATAAATTTTATTCGAGAAAAAAACTTATGTTGGATTTTATGTGGAGAAAATTAAGTTTTAGGGACTAAAGTTATATCGATTAGGCAGGAAAGGACTAGATTAGTTAAATTAGTTCCTCACACTTCAGAAACGGAGAAAAACTACGAAAATACTTCATCATTAACGATATCAAAAAACAGTACCCGATACGCACGCACACACTACTAATTATAATTATTTTCTTAAACATGTTTTCTTACACCGGAAAGGCATACAACCTAACCTTCCTCAGTAAGTTACAGCCCTCTGTTATGCGGGCAATCAATTCTTCTTCGGTTTACAACATACAAAACCGGGAGGGAGCTTCTAGAATTAGTAGATATAGTTTGTCATCGTCATTCAAAACTCCAAAGCCGCTTCTCCATGTTCAAGTAGTCACCAGGTGAGGACCAGATCGAGGGAGCACGCATGAGTATGTGACATATTTCACGCTGTCTAAAAGCACTACAACGAAAATTCGAGAAAGTGACTTCGGCTTGATCATGCCATCGACGTCGATATCACCAGCCTCTCGAGGATCAACGAGAACAGAGACCACCATGGGAGAAACCGATCTATTACCAGGCAGGGAGTTGTTCTGTTGATTTCCCGTCACATTTTCTTCAGTTACGTTATGACCGGATCCAGGAAGGGGAATTGGGAGACCACGGAGGATCCTTCTATTCCTTCCCCTGTTCAGCTCTGTAGTATTCTGACGGTGTTCAGAAGCATTGGAAACTGCAGATGCAGGTATTATACCTCCTGGAGAGGTAGCAGCTGAGACATCGAACTGGAACACTTCAGTGCACATTCCAGAGCTCAACATTGGTCCTGCAGAAAATTTAAGAAATCAATAACGAAGTTCGCAACCAAGTGTTTGACATGAGCACCAACAAATGAAGTACAATGACAGAAGGAATTAGAACAAACATACTAGGACACGGATACAAGGTCATATATAAAAGCATCCTGCAGTTTACCATATAAAATCTTCCAACCATCTGTAAAAAAACACGCAGTACACACTCCAAGCTATGAAACTACGATATTATTCATTTCATATACTTTACTTAACCATTGACCGGAAAAATAAAAACTTTTGCAACTTCAAAATTCTTATTCTGAGACCAACTGTGTGATCTCAAAACCGGGAAAAGAGATCATACGAGAAGATGTGATCCAAAACAAGCACATGTATCGTGAAATATTAAAGAGAAGGAAAACAAAATAGTTGGAGAAAATGTAATTTTATTATAATCATACCACCACGTAGAATATGAATAATAAAACAAATACTTTTTTCTTAAGGAAGATCAAACAAATAATTTAAGTCTTCTTTTGAGGACAAACTGGAACTTGTCAAATTGCCATGCTGGACAACTTCACTTCAAAGCTAAGATGGCCAAAGCAGCCACCCACGACAACTAATCATTCAAATCAAACAGAAAGATTAAATTAATTGTTGATATTTTTTTTTAATTTAAAAATAAAATAAAATAAAAGCTTATGGACCTGAATTTGAATTCAACAAAAAAATTTTGCGGCTGTATGGAAAAGACTACCATGCCTCAATCTTTTTTTTTTTTTTTTTTTTTGGGGGTCAAAACTACACCTCAATCTAATTGACAAGATCCTTTGCTATGACAAAAACCAAAGCAGAAAAAGACATGATGCAAATGAAATTTATTACTAGGTGACAGCTAGGGAACTTATTACCTATCCGTAACATCTTAATCTGGGTTGTATGTAGTTTTAATCTAGAGCCTTACTGTAGATATGGACCTTACCAGATGATGGCTAGGGAGCTAATCACCTGTCTGTAAGATATCAATCTAAGAGTGTCAGTAGGCTTGTGTCTGGAGTACTACTATTAATATACACATTGACCTTACTCTATGTTCGACGTCCACATTTTCTAAGATTCAGAATAGAGGCAAGGATGAATAAGCTGTCAGACATACCTCCAAGTATAGTTTAAGCTCAAATCTAAGTTATTAAATGTTGACCTACAACCCAAACAAGGATACTATTATTGCTCCACACACGAACTTCTTGACAAGTAGCTGTAACTAGAACATGGATCCAGACCTCATTATATATGTACAAATAAAAATACTAATGCGGGCTCACAGCAACTTTTTCAAAACAGCCAGGCACAAGATGTAAGCTTACTTATGTTATCGATCATAGCAACTCACTTATAGCCTCACACACTTTTTATACATATTGCAAACAAAGTTAGTTTTACTAATACAAAATATAAGGTTCATTTTACGAATTATCAACCCAAAGTAATATTTCCTTGCTAGCATGATTGCGCTAAACTCATATTTAATAATAACTACCAATAGGTCTCATCAAACTCAGCTACACAACTATTAGCCTCATCACCGATTTAAAAAAAAAAATGACTTGCCTTCTTGATACAATAAAAATGCAGGTCAACTAGTCATGACAGCAAACCAACCATAACCGTGTTAGGCATGCACTAAGTACACATATAGAGCTTAATGTAGATGAGAAACCAGATGCAATGTTATTACCTGCAAGACCTTCACGGAACCACTGTTGCAGTTTACCATCAGCTGAAGTTGACTTCATATGATCCTTTGGAACATCAGTTGAACCACTTGTAAGAGCCTTGTGTGGTCCAGCAGAACTTCTGTATAAGGAAGCATGAATCCCTCTGTTCCCTCCCGGTTTAGGAATAGCTAATGCTGAAACCAAATCTTTAGCCACAGCCAAACCAGTCTCTCTACTATTCTGCCTTTCAAAAGGCTCATGGGAAGCCATAGCTTTCTCACTGGCCAGGACCGAATGTATAATCAAGTTTCCATCAATCTTGACAAGCTTATCATTTCTTGGAACATACAAAGAAGCAACAAGTGGCTCACTACTAGTATTTTGCAGACGAGCAAATTCATCAGAACCCGGTGTAGCTCGTGACCCTTGTTCTTTCGGCCCATTCCTTGTATGATGACCCTTCTCATGACGAACTTTGTTTGAGACATCGAATTTCCCACCGGATGTTCCTGAACCTATAATTTCTTCAGATCCGTTCAAATGACCATGAACATTCAAAAGCCTCCCTCTGTATTGACCATTAAACCTATCACTAGCATAAGAAGACCCACCAAAACCTCTGTCCATTACATCACTAAAGTTAACATTCACCATAGGAACAAGCCCACCAAAAAGCAAGATAAAAAACAATAGACCCAGAAAACTAACGCTAGCAACCTTCTTAGTTCTACCCTCACTCTTCTTACTGTCCGACTTTCTGGACTTGGGCGCAGCTGCTGGCTGCTGGGATTTCAATCTAGGAATGGGTACCAAAAGGGACTGGGACCCTTGTGGGTTCACAACATAGGGCGAATATGGCATCCATGGATAAGGCATCGGTGGCATGGGAGGATGCAGGTGCATCCCTAAATGTGATGGCGGTGGCGGACTGCTCAATTGCTGCTTCAAAGTAGCATTCTCGGCAATAACATAAGAAATCCTATTGTTCAAATCAGCAATAGTTGAATGCATAGCCCTCACCTTGTCCTCAAGCTCCTCCACATAATGCTTTTTCCTCTGCCTAGAAAGCTGAGCACTTTCTCTGTTCCGTATCAATCTCGCCTTCCTCTTGTCGTCCTCGTCATTCGCACTCGCACTCACATTCACAGAAGCGGCATTGTTGTTGTTGTTGTTCTCCGACCTCCGATACTTGGCACTTCGCGACTCCGCGTTGCCTTCGTCGCTCTCTTTCTTCCTTTTCACAAGGTAATTTTTTGCCAATTCGTCCTCCACCTTAACCTTCTCATCATCCGAATTGCCCGAATGTGAATTCGAGTCCACCGCCTCGGAAATCCCAGAGCCCTGAGACGACGCAGGCCCATCGGAATTCTCCGAACACTCATTTGACGAGGCCGGACAATTCAGAAACCTGGAAATGTCCAAAGCCCCCTTATCATCGCCGGAAACCGAAATCGCGGAGCTACCCGATTCAGGAGACCCCGAATTCAACGCAGCCGCGCTGGGATCTAAGCCGTCGGGGACGAGGAAGTCCTCGGCCTCCGACGGGAGGTAGAGGTCGTCCAAGTCGTCGAAGGTAAGCTCGAACTCGCAATTTCCATCATCACCGAACCCAAAGCCGAGATCGGACATGAATGGGTCGTCGGAGGGCACAGCGCCGGCAGCCATCCCGTTGTCCGATGAGAAAAATTCAGGGTCGAGAGGAGGGATCCCGAGTGACTCCATATCGGAATTGAATTTGAAATCGGTACGATCCGGATGATTAGTCGAGTTGTGGCCGGAGTGCGGTTCCGCCGGCAGTGCCATCTTAGGGTTTTCAGAGAGGTTTCTCTGAAAATTTAGAGAGAGAAATAGAGAGAGAGCGAGAGAGAGAGGTGGGAGACGAAGACTGAGAGAATTAGGACGACGAAGAGTATTTTGATTTGGCTAAACCATTTCGGACGAAAAGCGGAAAGAAATGAGGGGGTTTTAATTTTTAGAATTAAACCCCAACGGTTTTAAGTTTTTATTATTTAATAGAATTTTTCAGATTTGGTTACCAATTTACTTTTCAGATTTGGTTATTAAATTACTTATCATTTTTAGTTACTAAATTAAAGGGTTTATTTTTTATTCGCTTCCTTCTCAAGTAGTGTAATATATATTATTTTATTTGTTATTATTTGGTGAATTTAAATTATAAAATTTTTGTTTATCTGTTATATAAATTTTAAAATTTAACCATAACGTGTCTAGCGGGTGTGAGAAAAATATATTCCAAATTAAAAGAAAATTGAGATTTTAATCCAAAAGGAGTTGCCACGTGTATCGGGGTGTTGTGTCTCGAAACTTCCTCTTCCTTTTTTTCTTCGTTGACGCGGGAGGGTCTTTTGATCTTTTGCTTTACGTTTTGTTTCTTCAACAGTCTTTTGCCTTGCCTTATGAGTCAAGCTATTAGATCCATACGTTTGTATGTATAGGAAAATTTTTAGTTGTGACGGAAATACGGATGATACACCACATATTTTTATACAAGTGACGGAAAATTTTAATTTTTAAATTATTAACCTTTTAACCCACATAACCCACCATTTATATAGAGACACGTGATGTACCACTTCGTGTGACGGGAACACTAAAAACTCTCTCGTATGGATATGGAGTAGTGGTGTCACAGCCCGTCCCAGAGTTACTAAATACCGAGGACGTGAAATTACTAAAACGCCCTTAAACGGGATTAAGGTGCGTAAATTTGGTATTTGTTTTACACTAAGATCTTAAACTAGGGTTTAGATTTACATTTGTTTGGTCTAATAATTTTGTATTGGACTTAGGTGGGATCCCCACCTCCTGAAATCCCTCCCCAAAACCCGTGGGATGTCTCTCTCTCATCTCCCTTCACTCTCTCTCTCTTTCTTCATTTCAGTATCACTCTCTCTCTCTTACTCTCGAACTCTCTCAAGCTCTCGGACAAACACCAAGAACAATCACAATCCTACACCAACGTCCGATCTAAGATCACCACGACACTCCTTAGGACCTCACGAGCACGGGAATACCAGTTTTAGGTAAGTTCTATTTCGAGAACCCTAGTTTTAAAACACCCCGTGTAATGGCACTGTTCACGAACTTAATTTTGGTTGTGTTTTAGGCTAAACTGAGATCACCACGAGTCTTAGGAAGTTCCAAGGAGGCTCGGAGTGCCTCGTTTGAACAAAATGGACGTCGGGATCGTCGGGTTCGAGTTTGGCCGAAATTGAGGAATTTTGGAAGGTATGATCTAGTTGTTTTTAGGCCCTAAAACCCTTCCAACGTGTTAGTACTTGTTAAATGCTTCATTTTGGTATAAAATGCGAAGAAATTGGTTGAAAAACGAAGGAGAATAGTGGATTTGAAAATTTTCCAGAAACCGGCGAACAGTCGCCGGCGACCGGTGACTCGCCGGAGAAGACAGGGAATCTTCCGTCAAGTTTGACGGAATATTCCGACGCCGTTAGTTAACTTTAACGGAAACCGTTAGTTTTTAACGGAATATATACTAGGATTTGACGGAATATTCTCTAACGCCGTTCACTGTAGTCGTCAGTGTGCATGCCACGTGGCCGCGCGTGGGCCGCGCGTAGGTCCGTGCCACGTCAGGCGCGTGGGGGCGCGTGAGGCCTCCAAAAATTATTTTAAAATTATGGGGATGATCCTGAGGTTGTGTAGGTCACTGTGGTATATTCATATACCCAATTTGAGCATCGTATGAAGAATTAATTACCTAGTTTTGGTTTAGGTGCGTTAAATGTGCGTTTAAATGATTGTTTTAAGTTATTTCACTTCTAGGTGGAACATTTATCGAGGACGAGCACATCCAGGGGCGTCAAGGGGGTTACGACCCGGCGACATACCAGTGAGTGGGCATTTGTTTTTATATATACCTATATACTCGATTTCCCCAGAAATCAAATTTAAATGAAAAGTATATTGAAATGAAATATGATGTGATTGCCATGCATAGAATATTATGGATATTATGAACTGTCGTATGATGCATATATGTATGATGGTGCTGTGGAAGCACACAGGTAAGTATTTAATTAATATTATGATGATGATGATGATATATTGAGCTCATATCCTGCACCATGGTTTAGTGCTTATAGTATTCACCGCATCGCACGCTCGCCTTGGATCCAAGTAGATGCTGGTCGTACAGTCCACGCGGAGTGGGTACGACGGGCCAGTCGTAGAGTGTTAGTGAGATTATGACTGGTGGGTGACCTTAGGTTATTGTATACAGATGATTGATGAGAGAAGCACTAGAGCGAATATTACCATGAGTCGTTCAAACTACATTAGGTGGTTCCGACTTATGTGCAGAAGGTCGGACAGGTCACGCGGAGTGACTCCGGCAGAGTGAGATTGATAGATGTTGAGCTCTAGGTTCAATCGTTCAGGGCTATTAGAGGGCCTCCGATTGATTTCTATCTTTTACCTGATTATATTATGTTAATGCATTCATACTAAACTGTTGAAATTGGCATGGTACATTCTTTATTGAATCTGTTATAAGATTGATGATTGAGACAGTTGAGATATATATGCTATATACTATTTTTCTGGGAAAGTATACAGGTTTTCCAAAAAGGGGTTATAATTGTGGATTTATGAAATGATTTGGAAAAGCTTATTTTCGCCCACTCACGTTTTCTGTTTTTCGCCCCTCCAGGTTCTAGTTGATAGTTGAGGCGTTGGTGGCCTACGAGACTGCTTCGGCGTTCTGACAGACTAAATTAATGTAGGATTCACCCGAGGGTGTTGTAAATTAGTTATGTTCCTACTTGACTGCACCTAGATGCTTATGCTCTGTTTATGTGTGTTTAGTACACTCTTATGCACATAGAATGCTAGGTTGTAAATAACTGCAATTAGTGGTTTTCGTTGACTCGTATTTTATTATTAAATCGTTTCCGCTTGCGTTATGGTTACGTCACACTCACGTGACGGCCAGCACGTCCTAGTCTTCGGTTAGGGTGTGTCAGTTTGGTATCAGAGCATAGGTTGCAGTCCTGTATAACTAATGAGTTCTTTATTTGATTTTTGGATGTTTCTGTCAGAATTATGCCGCCTCGTAGAGATCCTCGCCGTGCTGCTGAGCCTAATTTCCCCGATATAACTCAGTTAGGGGCAGCAATGGCTCAAGCTTTTCAGGCTAATATCCGTCCTCCTCAGAGAACGCCCGTAGAGACGATGTATAATCTGAAATTGGAAACCTTTGAGGGAAATGAAGGTTATGAAGGGGCAGAAAAGTGGTTGGATCGAATTGAGCAGACCTTTCAAGTGATGCAAAGTCAGGGAAACCTGCCAGCTAATAGATGGGTGGAGACCACCACTTGGTTTTTGGGCCGTGAGCCAGCTGCGTGGTGGATAAATTAGTCGAGGCACATGACTCCTGAAAGGGCAGCCGAATGGGAGGTATTTAAAGAAAATTTTATGAAGAGATTTGTTCCTCCGGAATATATAGATCGCAAGAAACAGGAATTCACCAGTCTGAAGCAGAGAAATATGTCTGCACATGAGTACTACAGGAAGTTTACTGATTTATCCCGTTATGATTCTGATTTAGCGGGTAATCAAGCAGAAATGCTTCGTCGTTTCAAGCTAGGATCTAAGAAGAAGTACAGAACGTTTGCCAATGCACTTCCCTGTGCCGATTATCATGAGTATTTTGAGATTCTGGTCAGGATGGAAGACTCTGATAATCTTCCGGACAGTGAGGATGAAGAGGATAAGGGTAATGGTCAGAAGAAAAATGAGAAAGGTAAAGGTGTTTCCATTCCAGGACCTCGTCAGACGCAGAATTTCAAGAAAAGTGGAATGAGTTCGAGTTCTTCCAGTAGTGGATTTAGTGCCACAGGTCCGAGGAGAGGAGGTGGTAGGTTTGGTAATGGACCTAGATTTTCTGGTCAGAGAGGCTTTGGTGATACTGGTAATTCGGGTTCTCCGTTATGTCGCCGTTGTAATTTCCGACATCATGGGGAATGTAGGAGAAGCAGTGGTGCATGCTTTACATGTGGTCAGACAGGACATAGAGCTATGTATTGTCCCCAGAATCAGCAGAGGCCCCAGCAGCCTGTTATGCCAACATCAGCACCGACTCAACAGAACTTTAATTCAGGCAGTTATGGCCAAGGTGGTCGTGGTGGTGCTTATCACTATCAGGGTGATGCTGCTCCTTATGCTCCGGGACAGTATCACTATTCCCAGGATCCTTATTTTCAGAGTGGATATTCTCAGGATCAGGGAGGTTATACTTCATATCCGTCTATGCCAGCTAGCGGATCTCAGTGGTATCAGGGGGGTCAGCCCCAACAGAGCGGAGTTGCTGCTAGTAGTGCAGGGTCGTTTAGGCCGCCTGCCCAGGCAGGTCAAGGACGTACTCATCAGGGACGAGGTAACCAGAGTGGCAGAGGTCGTGGAGGACGACAGCCAGCTCAGGGACGTGTTAACCACATATCGCTGCAAGATGCTCAGAACCATCCAGACTTGATTATGGGTACGTTGAATGTTCTTGGTCATTTTGCTAGAGTCTTGATTGATTGTGGTGCTACACACTCTGTGATTTCTCATACATTTGCTCAAATAACGCAACCTCATCCTTCACCTCTAGGGTTTGATTTAGAGTTTGCTATGCCTAGAGGGGATAAATGTTATGTTGATAGTTTTTACTCTGGGTGTCCAGTGATGGTAGATAATGTCATTATGCCTGCTAATCTTATCCCGTTAGACATCGTGGATTTTGATGTGATTTTAGGGGCGGATTGGTTGCATTATAATCGCGCCCATATAGATTGTTACGGGAAATCAGTTACTTTTCTTCGTCCTGGACTACCCGAGGTTACATTTGTGGGTGAAAGAAGTGGGGTGAGGCATGGTGTTATTTCCGCCATAAGGACAAAGAAATTGTTATCCAAGGGTT